CCGGGTCACGTGGGCGGGGGAGGGGAGCGAGGGAGAGCCTTAAAGGAGCCGCAACAGGCTTGCTCACTTTTTTTCCCCCTGGGAGAGGCCCTGGGACTGGCGGTGGCTGGCCGAGGCTGGCGACCGCAGGCGAGAATGTCTGTCATTTCTCGTCTTATCTCTCCAGGAAGCTAACGGCGAGACGCCCTGGTTCAAGTGTAGTTTCTCCATTTCCCTCCTGGTTTTAAGTAACTAAGGAGTGAGCCTTCCCGCTCTAGGCTGAGATTGTTATTTCCTTGCGGCCCACGTGAGCTCCTCATGCCTCTGGTTTTTACTGCTTTCTAGTTTCGTAGTCACCAGATAGGAGGTTCAGACTCTTGACTAGCTTCTATAACGAGCATGGAGGGAGCAACGGGGCTGCGCTGAAGATACTTTTCCTCTTGGCTGGTAGCACATGCCGCTTTCCTTTCATATCTCTAGGAGCGGCATTTTTTTTTTTTTCACTTTAATATCCTTTAAAAAGTGAAGCCATTTTAATTGAAGTTCCTTGAAAACCTGGGATTAAATGTCTCTTCTGCTTATGCCGGTGTGTTATGGTAACTCGCACTAGGGAGCCAGGTAAGTAAGTCCCCAGCGACCCAAGCCAATACTAGCAGGTGACCCTACAGTGTTAAGTCTATTTTTACTAAACACTTCACAGAGTAAGTATTGGGCGCTCTGATGATACAGTCAGTAAAGAGTTGGCTGCTAACCCAAAGGCGAGCCTCTCTGGTGGTTAATATCCATCAGCAAGCAGCTCATGGAGAAGGGTATATACTCCTCCCTTGTGATTGACACATCGGAAACCCAGTTATGGCTGGTTCTGATTCCATGGCTTTGAATTTTGAGTTTCCACAGGCAATATAGGGCACTCAAAAGGAAGTATACTAAAGCACCCAACTTTAGTTTAACCATCAGTTTCGGTATTGCATTCTGGCCAAAACTGGTAAGCATCTGTAATTTCACAAGCAAGTAGTTACCTTTTGGAGTGTCTAAAGCCTAGTCAACAAGGCCTTCTGGGAACTGTAGTATTCTCTGGTTTAAAAAAAAAAAAAGCATTCCAAAGCTTTCTGGGATTTGTAGTCTTCCCTGCATCCTAAGGGTAGATTTACCTAAATACAGTGGTTTCCCCAGATCATTAAAGTCCAATACAATTTGTGGGTGCATTGACCACCTGCAGTCCATCCCTCCAAAATCCTCAAACTTATAGCAAACTACTCCAAAAAAGAGTAACTCATGCATTGTCACCACTGCTTATGTGCTATGTACACACCTGTGCCAGGATGCCCTGCCAGGTATAGAAGTTAAACAACTGAGTTCTTAGCCAGGAGAAGCACCATGTCTTGCCACCCTCAAGAGTGGGCTCCTTCAACTTCGGGATCTGCATGAATGCTGAGAACACACTATCAGAGGGAGACACTGTCTAGAGTGGGATGTTCATAGGACTGATTGGAAGTGGAAGAGGGCCACGTATATGCACTCGCCAGATTATGAAGAAAAAACAAGAATTTGTGTTTTTTTTTTTTATTTTCTGGAAAATAAAATCAGAAAAACTAAAACCCCAAACTCCAGGAAAAAAATCCTAAAAAATACGTTTTGTTTTCTTAAAAAATACTGTGTAAGTCTCTACTCCTCTCCCTCCCCAACAGTCCTCCTTGTGTTCTTTCTTCTAAGTGCCCTTCCCCCCACCCCCACTTTCCCAATATCTACCCAGGATGCTCATTCACCTCCATGTTCTCCTTACCTGGCCCCTCACTTAATTCTCCCTAGGATTTGTACCTGCAGTACCCTTCCCTCAGCATCATGCAAGAGCTGCCTCCCCTTTTTCTTCTGGGATTCAACCACCTCTACCACTCCCGCTCCCAAAGGATCTATTCTAAACAGGAGCATGTAAATTGCCCCTGGCCAAATTCCCTCCCAAATCTCACCCACCCAATCCCAACTTCAAGAAATGTCAGAACCTCCTCATGGGCAGTCATAGCCCAGACTAAAACATTTTCCAATCTGTCTTTATTCTATATAGGACCCTTCCCCTCCCCCTCTACTTCTCCATGCACCTCCAAGAAGCAAGCTTTCTCTGGGAACCCCATATTATCTTGGTCTTCTCAAAGAACCCTCTCTCCATGTCCTTTCTTCAGCTCTCAAGAGGCTGGGTCTTCTCACCAAGGAATCTTTACCCCCTCCCAATCTCAGAATGTGTGATCAATTTCTAAAGTGTGCCTTTCTGCCCAAGGCTACCCACTTCTACTCTCCCCAGGCCACAGGAAGCAACTTCCCACCCAGCCCAGGGACCTTAGCCTTCTGCCTCTCATGCTAGCGGATGAGGACGTTAATCTCAGCCACACTGGCCTCCAGCACGTTCTCAGCTGTGGTTTTGCCATGCTGCTCCTTGAGGTGTCGCCTGATGGCAGGTTTGTGGGCAAAGCGCACATCGCAATAGGAGCAGCGATAAGGACGAGCTCCTGAGTGTAGATTGAGGTGGTCGTGCAGCGTGGACTTCTGTGTGAAGCATTTGCCGCAGATGCCACATGAGTGCGACTTGACGCCTCGGTGCACGTTCATGTGACGGTTGAGGTTGCTACTGTGGTTGAACTGCTTGCCGCAGCGTGGGCACATAAAGATGAAATGCTGTGCCCGCATGTGGAAGACCAGCTTCTCTATACCCTGGAATACTTCTGGGCACTTGGTGCATTTGATGTTCTTCAAGGGGTTCCCACCTGAGAAGCCCCCAGGCAGGGGGCCTCGGCTGCCCCCTGCACCCAGGCTGCCCCCCGCCCCCCGAGCAGCCATGGCCACCGCTGCTGCCTCCACCAGACCAGAGGTGGCTCCCACACTCGATCGGCCCCCAGGAATCAACAGCAAGCCCTCCCCTTCAGCGTCCTCGGATAGGCTGTAGCAGGCCTTAACCACACCTTGTGGAGGGGTCACAGTGCTGGGTGGCACGTTGCTCTGGGCCAGTTCCCCAAGATGGCTGCCCACGGAGCCCCCAATGCCTAAACCCCCTCCCAGGCTTCCTGGGGGTTTGAGCCGGTGGGCCACCTCCAGGGCCGACTCCACCTTGACAATGCAGATGTCTGATACATCCTCGTCCTCATCCTCATCTTCCTCCTCAGCCTTCAGCTCCAAGTCCTCATCCAGAGGAAACTCCAGCTTCACAGGCCGCAGGAGAGGAGGTGGTAGAGGAGGCGGGGGAGGGGGCTTGGGTGCTGGTTTTGGGGTCCTGGCAGGAGGGAGTAGAGACTTGGTGGCGCTAGCCCCAGCCACAAGGCTAGCCTCACTGACACCATCTTCTTTAAGGCCAATCTTGGGCTCGATGAACTGGCTGAGAGCATTCCGACATTTCTCCACCACGTGCTCCATCTGTAGGTAGGAGGCTGCCGTCAGATAGTTGACTATGTCCCTGACTGCAAATTCCAGCGCACCCGTGTAGCAGGAGAGGAGCAGGTCTGCCACAATGCGCGCACTGTGCATCAGCGAGACCTGCAGCTCAGAGCTGGGGTTCAGCAGGAACTGATCCCGCAGGAACGGCGAGCAGGCGGCCAGGATGACCTTGTGGCCACGAAACTTGAGGCTGTCGGCTACAATGGTCACGTCGCAGAACCGCTCCTCTGCGCGGAGCTGGTTCATGTTCCGCAGCGTAGCGGCCTCGTGGCCAGGCAACTGGAAGCGAAGGACTTCCACCCCAGAGGCCATTGTGGTGGGAGTGGGCAACCCTGGTTGGGAAGGAAACCGGTCAGAGACAAAGGTCTCTGGTTCTCCGAAGCCGAGGCCCCAGTCGCCTCGTCCCCATTCTTGCCTGGCCCCCCTGCATATGAACTCCCACTCTTCAGGGCTCTTCCTCAGTTTCCCCAATCCCCCGGGGAGGCGCTGTCCCTCAGAAGAGAGGGAGGCGTGGTTCCCGGGGGCGGGGCAGCGGCGTCGCCCCCCCAATCCGCCTGCGCCTTGTAGCCGGCGAGGATGTGGCAAGCCCGCGCAACCACGGGGAAGAGACCGAAGAAGCTGGGACAGAGACCTGGGTCTAGGGTCCAGTCCAAGAAGGCCGAGGCTGCAGGCTCTTTCCACCCCGCCCCCTTTACCCGCTGCTTCATTCCTCTGCCCCCCCTTGCACGTTTGCACGCACCTTTCACGTCCCCCCCAACCCGCCTGCACGCTTTGTGCACGCCCCCCGTCCCCTCCCGCTCAGAGCTCCGTGGCACGCCCCCCCCCAAGCCCCACGACCCTGGGTGCACGCGCCTCTCACCTGGCCCGGTTCCGCGCGCTGTTTTTTTCCCCCCCTATTTTCCCCACCCCCCCCACGGCTGGCGGCGCCCCCCACAGAAGGGCAGATCCTAGGCAGAGCGCAGGCGCGGGGGTGCACGAGGCGCGCGCGCTGGGCCGGCTCCGCGTGGGCGTGAGGGGGGAGGGGCGGGGGTGGCTCGTGTCGTGTGTCCCAGGCCCCGCGCGCTGGCGTTGGCGAGGACTCGGGGAGGAGGAAGAGAGGAGGGAATTAAAGGAGCAGGATTCCCCCAGAGCCGACCCCCCCTTTTTGCTCCAGCCCCCCCATGCGGTTAAAGGGGCCAGACGGTCTTGGCTCCCCTTTGGCCAGGATTATTTGTCCGCCAGAGCGGAAATAAATTCCACTACCCCTCGCTCCCCCTCCTCTATGCTCTGGGCCCCGCTGCTCGTTTGCGCCTGCGTGCGATGCCGAGCGGTAGCCCGCTCGCTAAGCCCGCCTCCCGCTCCCGGCGGCCTGCTCTGCTACCCCTCTCCGCGCCCTCGCGAGCCCCGCCCGCCTCGCGCCTTGGCGCGCGCTCGCGCTCCTGTCTGCCTTCCTGCCTTGCGTCTCTGCAGGTCTAGGGCTAGCTAGAGGTGTCAAGCTGCCACCTGCTCCCAGAGGTGGTGCTGGTCAGACCTTTTTATTAAGAGCAGGGCATCTGGTGCAGTTTCCACCCCTCCCAGGGCCCCAGACCACTCTTACCTATGAGCCTTTCTTTGGTCACTTGATTCCCAGTTCCTCTAATCACACTTGCAGACTTTTTTTTTCCTCGTTTGAAGCTGATAACCTTCCACTTCTCCTAGACCAAAAGATAATTTTATCTCCTTCAAAGCTCAGAAATCTAGCAACCTCAACTATCCTCCTTTTCATCTATCATTTAAAATAGTAAAAATCACACATCTTCTTTTCTCAGAATTATTACTTTTGGCCAAGGCCAGCCCACTTTTATTGTATAAAGCTTTACCCCATTTCTACTATATAATTGAAAAGACTGCTTAAAACGAAGAGGACTTGAAGCGCTAGCAACATAAGAGGAGGGACTATAGCCTTCAGTATGGATTACATCTCAATATGAACAAGACAAAAATCCTCACCACTGGCCCAATAGGCAACATCATGATGAAAGGATTGAAGATGTCAACTATTTGATCTTGCCTGGATTCACAATCAACACCCTTGGTAGCACAGCAGTCAACTCAAAGGACTGTGCATTGGGAACATCTGAAAAGTGCCTCTCCAACGTGTTAAAGAACAGCGATGTCCTAATTCAAGCCATGGTCTTTTCATGTACTTTCTGTATATCTGAAAGTTGGAAAATTACTAAGGATAACAGAAGAAGAATTGATGCCTTTAAGTTGTATTGGAAAGGAGTACTGAATATCTCATGGACTACCAAAAGAACCTTTCCTGAAGAAGGGACAACCAGGATGTTCCTTGCATACAAGGATGGTGTAGCTTCATCTCATATTTTTGGCATGTCATTAGGAGGGGCTAGTCCTTGGAAAGAGATCATGGTTGGAAAGGTGGAGGGTCAACAAAAGAGGAAGAACTTCAATGAGATGGATTGACACAGAGATGACGGCAATGGGCTCAAGTATACCAGAGATGATGAGAATGGCACAGGATACAGTAGTATTCAGATCTGTTCTTTATAGGGTTGCTATGAGTCATCATTGACTCGACAGCACCTAACAATAGCATAATTAGTCCTAGTACTAATTATTGTTATATTGTATGATTATATATAAAATATGGTGTATTATTGGATTATATCATCTCTTGTATTTTTTACTGCACCTGTCTGGAACCTCCTGAGTGATGAAGTCCGTCCATTCTCTAGACAAAACATCTAAATTTCCTTCTTTGCCTTCTCTTTCTGTAATGCCCAACAAAGCTCCATAGCTTCACCACCAGCACTTATTTGTATCTTGACGATTGACTCCTTTCTACCCCCCCATTGCTGTCCTCAAATCCACACTTCACTTTCCTACTCATCCATCTCCAGATGAAAACATTGTTTTCTATCATTTAAATCCCCCAGGAGACTATTTTCCTTATACATCATTCTGATGAAGCTACTTTTTAGATAGTGCATTCAATGTCCACTTCACATTAGATTGTCCAAGTTTGGGGTTGTTTTTTTTTGTTTGTTTGTTTGTTTTTGCTGATTTATTTGGTTATTGGTTGCTGTTGTTGTTGTTGGGGCGTTTGTGGTTGTGGTTGTTTTTTTCTTTACTATATATAAACTCCCCAATTGCTGAAATGACAGACATATTTTACAAAAAATAAATCATTCAATAAATAGCTGATGAAGAAATGTATTTCTCAATCAGCGTTTACTCATACAAGTTTACTTTTTACCTAAATTGAAACCCAAAACTTAAAGAATGCCTGTTGGGGGGAGGGCTGGGATGGTGCTCAGGTGGTGCTTGACTCTGCCTTTCCTTTATAACTCTCTGACTTCATTCAGTGCTCCTACTTATTTTCCTCTGTACTCAAATGACCTTCTGCCTCTCTTTCCTTTGTAGTCAAACATTGTAGACTAACAAATTACAGTTTGTTGTGTCAGATACACCTAGGTTTAAGATTGTATTCCTTACTCAGTAAGACTCCTACAGATCTTCTCCATCCCTGTTGGAGATTTGACTCAGAAATAAGCAGGAGTTGCCCATGGCTCCCTCCTCCTGTACAGTGTTCTTGTGGGGAACTGTTATAGGGCTCTTCCCACATCTGCACCTATGAAGAGTGTCTAGAATCACCTAGACCCTTGTCTTTTGGTTTCTAATTCCTGCCAATGTGAGAAGAGAAGGTTTGTATTCTTCCGGTTTATAAGACCAAATGCATCAGATATTACCAAGAACAAATAAGATAGGGATTTTTGGTGGGCTTTAGAATAAGAATCTGACAAGGAGACAGGCAGTCTAGGTCCTACTCCAGGTTTGAAGTCATCCAGGTCCCAGAGGTTTCCGTTTTCTCGTTAGTAAAATGGAAAGATTGCCCTCTGAAGTATTTTCCCAGACCCACAAACTCAGACAAGTTTCTATCTGTAAAGGGACATGTGCATGTTTGTGTATGTATGTCTGACTACCTTGTGGCCTAGACCTGGATGGATAATTCTGGACCACTATTCTTGGTTACTAATGGAGTTGAGTAGTGGTCTGCATAATCCAAAACATCAGGAAAAGTTAGTTGTTTTCCTGACACAGTCAGATTTTTGGCAGTGTGTTTGCCTTTACAGTTCTGCTTAGCCAAAATTAATATTAAAAGAACCATATTCCCAGAGCAGCACCAATAGGAAAAGGGGGTATGAAGCCAATGACTTAGATTTTTTAATCCATAGGCTGATAAACCCAGTTGCTTGGTGGCATAGTTGCTGGGTGACACACATGACTGTTAGCAGAACCCAGTGATTTAAACACACTCGTAAGTGCCTTAGGAGATTTGATGATTGGCTTCTGAAAGATCGCACCCTCGGAAGCCCTGTGGCACAGTTTTCCTCGGCAAACACAGTGTTCCCATGTCTACAGATCAGAATTGACTAGCTGCCAACTACGACAGGATGTATGCCAACAAAATCTGTAATTTCTCCCTCCTTCTTGGCCTTACACTCACCTTTGGCCTTAGTGCAAGAAGCATGCTGGAACCTGGAGTCAGTTCTGGGGATATTGGCAGGAATTCACTATTTAAGAAGAGAACTATGATGACAAAGGGCTCACTCCACTTTAAAGCCAAACCAAGCCCATCCCACTGCCATTGAAACAGTTCTAACTCAATAGTGACATTGTCGTCAGGTTTCCAAAACTCTAAATCGCTACAAGAGGAAATTGCTTTGTCTTTCTCCCACAGAATGACTGGTGCATTTGAACTACCAACTTTTTGGTTTGCAGCATAACATTCCACCCTACCCATTCGCAGAGCAATCCTCCCTGAATTCCCCATTTACTTTCTATTTGGTTCAGCAGTGCTCACTTCAGACTCCTCCACCCTTCCTTCTAACTCTCTATTCTGAGTTCTCTAGAACTCTTCACAGCTCTACCTTCTGGTATGCTCTCTCTGCCTCACTTCTTTTACTTTAGAGGAAACTGAATTCTCCAGACAGCCACCATGCACTCCTGCTAAGCAGACACCACATACCTGCCCCTATTCTGTTCAGCACCAGGAGGAAATTGTGACGGATTCCTTTAGCTTCTTGTTAAACTCAGCTAGAACAGGATTCTCCACTTCTTGGCAAACCTCCTTCGCTCCAAGTTCCCTGGAGTGTGGTCTTGCCTTCCAGGGCCTCTCCTTGTTGCCCTGAGCAGCTGACACCCAGACCTGTTGTTCCTGGCACAGGTGGTCTGATATCCATGTAGATAACACAATCTACACCCCACCTTTAATTTGTTCATTTTGTTTCCCTCCTATACAAGCATTTATTTGTTTCAAAATTTAAAAAGGT